GATAAAAGCAGACCAAAAAAAACAAGTAAGAAAGCTCTAGTCGAGACTGCTCGACTACGAGATCCCCTGAACCCTTGGAGTAATAGCTATTTCAATAATTTTTCGCGTCTTTCAGCTTACACAAGAAACACGCACACACACACACACACACACACACGCACGCACGCGCACAGGCATACATACACACACATACATACACACACACATACACACACACACACACACACACATACACAAACAATTACATACATATACACACACAAGCATAAACACGCATGGGCTGCAGTGTGCGCTTACTATGAGAACTTAATTGTTTAATAACTTTTTTTATGGACGTACGATCTTCATGAAACTTTTAGATTATGATTATAACATGAATATGCATGTAATTGCCAAAGCACAAGTCTCTAGTATTTGAAATACGCTTTTTACAAAAGTGAGGGTGAGGGGGTGAATTTAGAGGTGGGGGGTAAATTTTAACAAAAACCGAAATTGTATAAATTGCATATAAGCATACATTAAAAATTTGGAGACTCTAGCAATAAAGGTGTAGAAGATATAATTTTATAACTGGGTTTCGATAAGGTTTTTTATCGATAAAAAAAGATCGAGATGAGTTATCGATTTTTAATGATAAACTTGATATGCGCGCTGTAATTACGGACATTTTAAAAAAAATTTGAAGTCTCTAGCTCTTATATCTTCTGAAATCGACGCGTTCATACATACGGACAGACGGACAGACGGACAGACAGACGGACAGGGCCAAATCAACTCAGCTCGTCACCCTGATCAAGAATATATATACTTTGTGGGGTCTGCCACGCCTCCTTCTCCCTGTTACATACATTTCAACAAAACCATTATACCCTGATTTCCCATTGAAAATGGGTTCAGGGTATAAAAAAAAATCAAACAAAAATAAACAAAACTAACAAACTCTCACAAAAACAGTAAGAGAGAGATAGAGAGAGTGAGCAACTTAGAGGGGGGAACAAAGAAAACATAACAGAGCAGAGCATAATCAGTGCCTGTAGTTGAAAAATCGATGCGTAAGCACGAAAGAGTAATTGAATACCCCAGCAGGAACTGGTTACTCGAATATTTCTCTCCATTTTCCCCTCTAGCTGTTTCCGCTTCGATTTCTGATTTGCATTGATTTGCTTTGCACTCACCTTCAGGTTGCCGATCAGCTCCATAAACTGCAATATGTCGGCGAGGCCTGTGTTGAAGCAGGGCTTCTTGCCCGCACTGGAGGCTGCATCGTGGCAGGCAGCGCCTTCGCTTCCCGCTGCTGCTGCGGCTGTGGCAGCTGTTAGACTGCTGCTGCTGCTGCTGCTGCTGCCATCGCTGTTGGAGATTTCCGATTGGAGTGGTTCGGCGGCCAGTGAGGACATTGCAAATTTTGTTGTTGTCTGCTGTTGTTGTTGCTGCTGTTGGTGCTGTTGCTGCGGATGCGAGGATTTAGCGTTAGTTCCGTTACACTTCGTATGCAAATGTCGCTGTATGGTGTCCTGGCTACGCTGCTGCTGCTGTAGTATATTGTGTACAAATCGCTTTGATAAATTGACGAACTGCGCCGACTCCGATTTCGATTCACTCGGACAGCAACCGTGCGCTATCGAAGGCGAATTGTGACTAACGCTGTCGCTGAAGTTCAATTCGCTCAACGCCGTTTGACTAGATTGATTTGGTTTTGGCTTTGTAGTTGTAGCTTCAGCTGCTGCTGCTGTTGTCGCCGTCGGTGACGTCACGACGACATTGCTGCTGCTGCTGCTGCTGAGTTGCCTAAGGAACTTGTATAAGTCAGCAGCGCCGCCAACGCCACTGCCAGCTGGGCACGCTGTGGCCGTCGCTTTGATCAGTTGCTGTCGTGAGAACATGGTGAGAGAGTAATTTCGTGAGCGACGGCGAACTTATCGTTGGAGAGTGCGACAAAATGTTTAGCTACAAAATTGTGGTCGATGCAAACACGTGCAACGTGTGTGTCCTAAAGAAAGATAGATAGATAGAATGAGAAAGAGAGCAAGAGAGTTAGCTTATTTCGTATGTAGATTCTTGTCTGAGCAGAATTGCAAGTTTTGCAAGCACTGCTGCTTACAGTTTGACAAGCAGTCTGTAGCTTGTTTGTTTTTGTATTATACATACATATAACGGAAACTCGGGTTTTGTTTGGTTTACTCAAGATATATATATATATATATTTTGTTTTTCAATTTCAATTAATATTTACGGTTTAATAATTAAGATCTGTTTATTTTACTGGTTTTAACTGGAAATTGAATTTGTATGTCTTTTTTTCTCATATATGAGTAAGCAATATAAATATTTCCGTTTTGGCTTTGTCATTAATATAATTAACAGAGGGCTGCTTATAGGGTTTACTCAACCATTATTGGATTATAAGATTTCATTTAATTAAGGTGGGGTTATGATAATAATTTTTATTGCAAGTACAGCCAATTAAAAATAAATATTTTATAAATTTATTTTAGAGTAATTTACAAATAAAAGAAATTAAAATTTTATTTGAGTATAATTTATATTTTATTGTAAACTTGGATATAGTAAATTGAATTTCTCTAGTCAAAATTGTCTCTCTTTATTATAAGCAACTCTTGAAGCACATCTCGCTTCAAGATTTCTATATTTATTTTGTAAAATGTACACATTTTATTATTAACAACTTTTCAATCAGCCCTCGCTTTTAATACATTACACGCAAAAATTGAACATTGATTTACGTTGTTTACGCAATAGTTGCAAATTCGCAGAGACCAAAATTTCGCCGAGATAAGTAAACAAATAATGATTAACCATTTAGTATTTATTGCTATGTTCAAAACTATCAGTTAATATGCTTATCGTGAATGTGATTGTATGTAGATGTGCACTCTTTTTCTTTGCACATATATTTCATTTATTTATTTTTCTTCTTTTTTTCTAATTTCTATCACCAACCTTGACACCAACACGGCCCGGCAGACGCGTCTGCCCCAGACTTGGACTTTGTTGTTGCGAGCGAGACAAGAGACGCGAGACAATGAAATAGGCTAGGAAATCGCCGAATCGACGACAACCGACTGCGAGGGCTCGCGTGCGCCTTGTGACTATGACTGCGGCAGCGGCAGCGGCCAGTGGCACTTCAAGGTGACGATGACAAAGTTGCCGTATTTACTATTTTTTTATTTTAGGCTGCTTTTGTTGCTGTTGTTATTATTATTGTTGTTGTTGTTGAGTGTGCACGTAGACACGAGCTCTGCGACTGTTTACCTGTAAATGTGAACTAACGGCAAATGCGGTCGCCACAGCGGAACTTTGAATTTGACAATGGGACAGCGACGATGGCATCGGCTTCGGCGTCGACGATGTCGATGGTACAATTAAAAATATCACTAAGCTAATTTAGACACATACACACTACACTATACTATACTATACACACACACACGCGCGCCCGCACACACATATACACATATTTGTACATAAGCGTATGCTAGCGAAATTCATGCTGCTTCTTCATTATGTTTTGGCTCTTGTTTCTATGCACTTTTCTGTTTAATATCAAGGCAGCTTGGTTGTTAATTTAAATATGGCTGCAGCAGCCAGTGAGTAACGGTAAACTTGGTACTAGTATTGGATTTTTTCATTTAGCAATTGCACAACAAAAATGTTTTTGGCAAACTAAAACGCGCCGCCGAAGAGATTCGCGACGCCTGCACTTGACCGATACTTTGTGGCGGCCGATCGATATCTATACGGCATCGCAGCTGCTATGCTGCTAAAAAAAAAAAAACACAAAATGGTCAGTGGTGGGTGTTAATTGAAATACCAAGCAATTTAAGCAAATTCAGGATATATAAATTGTTTGGACATCTTGACAATTTAATTAATATTTATAAATATATAGTCAATTTTGATTGTTTGCTTATATTTGTAATAACAATAATTAAATACACCTGCAATACCCACACTTTCAGCATTTTTTAGGCCATTTTTTACAATTGATTTTGTAGTTTTTGTTTGCATTTATCGATAAGTATAAATTCGATAATTGTGCACATGTTTTGGTTTTTACCGTGTTTCGCGGTTTATTCTTATTAAATTATAAATTAATTGTTTAGTTTTCATAATGTTGGCACCTATAAAACATTTATTAAACAACTATCGCATAGTTCTTGCAAGTGGGTCCCCACGACGCAAAGAGTTAGTGCAAATGCTGGCAAGTGCACTAAAATCCAAAAAAAGGTCAGAAACTAAAATTTTGTATATCCATACTTTAGGGCCTCAATGCAGAGCTCTGCCCTTCGACATTTGAAGAGAATCTGGATAGAACAGAATTCAAAACTTTCTCCGACTACATAGAGGCGACAGCCTTGGGCAAGGCAGAGGAAGTTTATCAGCGCCTTGACAACGACGGCGACGGCCGTCAGCTGATTGTCATAGCGGCCGACACAATGGTTACGCTTGGAAACGAGATCTTTGGAAAGCCGAAGGATGCAGATGATGCTGTGCGCATGCTGACAAAGTAATCAATCAGTTCATATACCCTCCTTCTGGCTAATTTACGATTTGCCCTTTCAGGCTCTCCGGCGCCTGCAATCGGGTCTTTACGGGCGTTGTCCTGAAGCATTCGAATGGCGTTCGGCAATTCACGGACACGGCGGACGTTTACTTTGGCCAGCTGACAGAGGAGCAGATCAGGAGCTATGTCGACAGCGGCGAGCCACTGTAAGTATTGGCCGCATGTAAACTAGAGTTTTTGATGCTGTTAGACTTGATTAATTTGATAAAGATATCATTCACTTATTCATTCAACATACATTCATATATATGTATATTTATTTTTTATTTATTCTATTAAATGCATCTAACATGTATAAAATTCCTAAGCATTTATAAAATTTCATGATCTAAGAATGAACTTAGATTATCTAACAATTATTTAAGTTCAATTTATTTATTTTATTTGTGCAATTGCAAATTTGTATCTTTTATTTGATTTTTCTGCCTACTTTCTATTTTACATTTAGTAGAAATCTAATTTAGTTTAAAAAAAATATAAATATGATTTATTTTATTAAAAAAAAATTACATATTTTTATTTGTTGTTGTTATAGAAAAATTATAAAAATATTTTATTAACATATATAGCTTCAAAAAATATTCGACTTATAGATATCCCGTACTACTAACCAATAAATATAGAGATTCGAAAAGCCCTACTTATTTGCTGAAGAGATTCCCAATCTGAATACAGTCTGGCTGTATATCTGTTGTGTCGATAGATGGATAGATAAGGGAGATAGATTTATTTAAAAAAGTAATAACATTTAACACTTGTCATCTTAGAAAAGATATTCCAGTCACAATTCTAACAGAATATTTGAAAACACATAATATGTATATTTAAGGTAAAATATGTGAAAAAGGATTTGATATATTAGATATGAACAGCTCACCTCCATCATCTTCTTCCCTCATTTCACCACATTCAGAATGCACTACTGCATCAGCACACCCACCTATGTTAGCCTGTAGCAATACATGGTATATTTGTAATCTTGCTAGACTTGAGAGTTCACCTGTGATTCAACTTTTCACCCACAGCGATAAGGCAGGCGGCTATGGGGTGAACGGTCCGGGTGGTGCTCTAATACCTCGCATCGATGGTGATTTCTACTGTGTGATGGGCCTGCCACTGCATCGTCTGTGCTGCGAGCTGAACAAACTCTTTCTGGACGATCTCTAGTGTGTGTGTGTGTGTGTATATGGCAGATAATTAAATGAAAATAATATAGTCGAACAGAATACAATGACAAGAAACTTCGCCAGTTTGCGCTTATCACAATCCAGAAATTGTAATCGTGCGCGTCAGAGGCTACCCTTCAGGCGTTATTAGTGTGAATAGTTGATAAGGCGTCGTATTTGTTTTCATAATAGTTGTTATTGTTTGTTCATAGACTAAATCAAGAGTACAAATTAAAAAGAAAACAAAAAAATGCGGTTTTGCCTTCCATTTTACACATAAAGTCAAATAGTTGTATTTTTGTTACTAGCTGCACTGTGGTTGCAAGAATATATATTATTTTTTCTATTTGTGTAGTAATCTTAATATCTCCAATGTAATAAACAATTCAATAATTATTTCTTGCATCAAAGTTAAATTTGTTTAAAGAGAACCTAATATTTATTAAATATAAAATAAAATAAAAATTTAATAAAATTGTATTCAATTGCATATTGCATATGAAATATATGAATAAAATTATTTTTTAACTGACAAAAAAAAAAAAAAAAAAAAAAAAAAATGTTATTGAAGAAGATTATTATTCAGTAAAAGTAAAAAAAAAATTTTTTTAATTATATACTCAAAATGTTATGCTTAAATTACAAAATTAATATTTTAAATATTAAAAAAAAAAAAATAATAATAATAAAAAAATTTCAATACAAATGATTTGCAACCACTGTGCTGGAAAGCAACGCATCATTTTGACTCTATCGCTAAAACCAGCGGTCATAAAATCATGTGGGAAAAGTAACGTATATTTCCAAAGATAAGACAAGATTATATATATGTATGTCTAAAAAAAAAGAAAATAAAGAAAAGAAAACCTCACCCACCGAACACAATAAATACAAAGTGTATACACAATTATTAATATATTTTATAGGATCGTAGAACGCAAGCGACGCGCATTCAGTGAGTGATCGTCGGGCGTGAAGCAACCTCCTAACTCGACTCAGAAAATGACTCAAAAGCCGCCAGCAAACCAAGAAAGCGGCAGCTCCGCCTATCAGCTGTGGGGTGGACGATTCAGTGAGCAGCCGCACGAAGCGCTGCAGGAGCTGAATATCAGTCTGCCATATGATGCACGACTCTATGCGGACGATCTGGATGGCAGCAAGGCCTACGCGGAGGCATTGATGCGAGCGGGTCATTTGAATGCCGCTGAGTGCGATAAGCTGGTGAAGAACTTGGAGCTAATACGCTATGATTGGGTCGAGCATCTAATTAAGTTCGAGGCGAGCGACGAGGATGTGCACACGGTGAACGAACGGCTGCTCGTCGAGCTGACCGGAGATCTGGGCCAGCGCCTGCATACGGGACGCAGTCGCAACGATCAGGTGGTCACCGACATGAAGCTCTGGCTGCGCAAGGCCATACGCGAAACGCTGGGCCGCCTTCGCCAGCTGATAGAGGCGATTGTCCGGCAAGCCGAAGCACATTTGGGCATCCTGATGCCGGGCTATACGCACCTGCAGCGGGCCCAGCCCGTTCAGTTCTCCCATTGGCTGCTCTCGCACGCCTTTGCCCTGCGCGAGGATTGCCAGCGGCTGACCGAGCTGCGTGATCGCTCGAATGTCTTGCCCTTGGGCAGCGGAGCTCTGGCTGGCAATCCTTTGGGCATTGATCGAGCGTGGCTGGCGGAACGTCTGGGGTTTGCCGGCGTTACTGGCAACAGCATGCATGCCGTGGGCGATCGTGATTTTGTGGGTGAGTGTGAAGCGCATAGAAAGGCGCTGCAGAGGACTATATCAGCGCTAATGTGTTTCTATCTCTCTCTCTCTCTTTCTCTGTGACCTTTTAGTCGATTTCATTTACTGCTGCTCGATGGTCAGCCTGCATCTGTCGCGCCTAGCCGAGGATCTCATTATCTATAGCACTAAGGAGTTCGATTTCATCAAGATCGCCGACACCTTCTCCAGCGGCAGCAGTTTGATGCCACAGAAACGCAATCCCGATAGCTTGGAACTAATACGTGGCATCTCCGGTCTCATCACATCCAATCTGACGGGCATCATGATGACCATCAAGGGCACACCCTCCACGTACAATAAAGATTTGCAATTCGACAAACAATATTGTTTCCAGGCATACGACAAGCTGACGCAATCTCTGAATATCGCCGTGGGTGTGGTTGAAACCATGAAAGTGCAGCGTCATCAAATGGAATCAGCGCTCAGCTCCGACATGTTGGCCACCGATTGGGTGAGTTTCGACATACAATTCAATCACTCAGTCAATCAATCAATAAACATTTTGCTTCTGCTCTCAGGCTTACTATCTGGTGCGAAAGGGCGTTCCCTTCCGGCAGGCGCATCATCACATCGGCTGCGTCGTCGCCCTGGCAGAACAACGTGGCGTCGACATAACGGAGGTGCCGCTGGGTGAACTGCAGCAGATATGTTCGGCCTTCGGGGCGGACATAGCCAGCGTGGCCGACTATGGCCACAATGTGCAGCAATATGATGCAATCGGTGGCACCTCGACGGCCAGCATAGTCGAACAGTTGCGGCTGCTTAAGAATTTGATCAAGGAATTGCGACAAGAGTCCTAGAACCGGACGGGCTTTATTTGACTTTGGCATTGGATTTTCGTTTAGCTAACAAATTAAATATTTTTGGTGTTTACATTATAGTGTGGTTGTTGTTGTTATTGTTATTGTGCTAAGCATTGCTGCTTTTGCCTCAGTTGACGCTGGGACTGTGGGGTGTGTAGGTGTAGGGCTCCTGAGTGCCCAGCTCGTTGCTGTTCTCCAGCTGCTGATAGCCGCTCATTGCCGAATTGGCTGGGAGTCCCACCTTGCCGCCGGAGATGAGCACGCCCAGGCTCTGCTGCAGCTGCCAGCGGCGTGCCTCGCGTATCGACTTGTTGCGGCGCAACGTCTTGGCCAGCATAAAGGCACAGAGCACGCCCAGCAGCTGGACAAAGGCCACAGTGGTTGCGCCGGTGGAAATCAGCATGGCACTCTGCGACATGATGAAGTTCATCTTGTTGAAGCAGCCATACTCGTACGGATCCACGCAGTTCATCTCGTTATCGTTGGCACTCGGGCCCACGCTGCCGCAGCACGAGAATGGCACCACCACATCATCCGCATCCAGTCGGGTCATGTTGTTGGGCGAATAGTTTTCCTTCCAGTCATCGGGACCTTTAACGCCGCAGCATCCCAACTACAAAATATACAAAAATTATTAATTAGTTAACCATAATGTATACTTAAATATTTAAACAAAAATCAAATCATATTTCATAAATAGTTTCTTCAATATGTATCTAATTTTTCTTCAATTATTTTTCAAATTTTTCTATAGTTTCTAAAATAAAGTAGTCAAGCATATTTAAATTTTAAAATGTAGAAAAATTTGAATTTATTTGTATAAAAAAAAAAAAAAATTAAATAAATAATATAAAAAATAAATAAATAAATAATAAAAAAAAAAAGTAGCAGAATCTAATCAATATAAAAATTCATGTAAGATAATTCGATTTAGAGAATAATAACAAATGTGATAATAATTATTTAAACAAACTTAAAATTATTAAATTACTAATAATATTATAAAAGTATTAATAAAATAAATAATAAATAAAAAATTCTCAATAAATGTAAATAAAAATGGAAAGTACTTATTGAATACTTTATTTAATACCGGCAAATTTTAATTTAATTGAAATATTTTAGGAAATTAAATGATTTATTATTCACTTCTATATATGTATATACATATATATTTTTTTTTTTATAAATAATTTTGAGATAAAAGCGAAATCATATAAGTAAGAGATTAGTCAGTTAGTTTTTTAAATAAGTATATATAAGCTATATATCTATATTACTATATTCATAGATCTTGAAGCATACTTACACCAGTTTGCATAAAGTCCACTCCAGCAGCCACCGTGGTGTCCTTTTCGTATGCAACCAATGCCTCGTTCATGGTGCGCACCAGCATTTCTCTAACCTGCGACTGCATGACGAAAGCGGCAATTGCTGCCGCCACCTCCAGTATGAAGACGAGGAAGAGACAAACGCCATACTGACAAATAGAGTATGTGAGATACATATGGGCATTAGACACAAATATTCTGTGATGCATGCAAATTAGTTATATACCAAATTGATGAGCAAAACGCTCTCCTTGACCGCTCCATAGGCGCCGAGTGTGGCCACGGCGATAAGTATGAAACCTATGGCAATTAGCAGCGCGGGCGGCGACGAGAAGTGTCCATCGATAAAGAGATCAAAGTCGCCGAAAATTGCCTGAATGGTTGTGCCAACCATGATCAGCAATATAGCTGTCAGCTAGGAAGGAAAATATAAATATAAATATGCATTGAAAATAGGTACAAATTTTAGTTAACAAATCCAGTTAGCAATCGCATGTCAAATAGCGTTTATATGTCTCTTAAGTAATATATGTATATAAATAAAATATGTTATTCATTGCCACATTTCTCTATTATCGATTTGAATAGTTTCCGGTTTGTAGCCCCTTAAATATTTAAGCTCGCATATTATTAATGAATGCGACTATTTTCATTTAGGTATGAATATTTTTTTTAAAGTATCAAATATAAGACGAATATTTTCAGCTCTTTTACATATATATATATATATATATATATATATATATATATATATTTATATATATATATATTTTTTTTTTTTTTTTTTTTAAATAAATAAATAATAAATATTTAACTAGATTTTGTCAGTATTTTAAAAATTGAATAAAAGGAAAACAATAATAGTATAAATAAATACAATAAAAAAAATTTAAAAAAATTCTTGAATAAATAAATTTATAATTTAAATTATTATGATTTCGTGTTCAGATTGAATATGCAAGGAAATTCTCAATCTTAAATTTGTTGTATTTTTTAATT